TTTCCCAGAGTATATTAAATTTCTTTTAGGTATATTCTTTAATTTCCTTTATATCCTCTAGACATAATTTCTTCTAGGTGTTAGCACATAGACACTGTTTTCAAAGATGACCTGGATAATATTTGTAATTTTGTTTTATTGTACTAAGTTATCCTATTAATTTGAGGTAACTAATGGAATAGAAAGCCTTTAGGCTTTCCTTTGAGAATTGTTTATCTGTGAACAATTTCTCTTTGAGCATCATCTTTTGAATATGGAAAATGTACCCTGAGTAAAGTGGGGAGTTTTAGGTTTTTCAAAATGTTGAATGAACAAATGGACCAAAAAAAAAAAAAAAAAAAGAATAGACTGTTCTCTTTATTCAAAGCTTCTACACCTTGCTTCACTCTCACAAGAAATTTTTTATCTACAAATTTAAGGTGCACAGAATTGTGGCCCGAGTTTCTGAAGCTGGCAGATTTTGAGATTTCTGGTTTGAACCAGTCTGAAAACTGGATGCCACTTCAGCGTGGTTCTACCTGGCCATGTAGTTTCCCCASGTCTGTCTGCCTGGAGCTGTCTCCCCTGTGTGTGCACCTGTGCCTTGTGCTAACCTTGATAGCTCAACTCATGTGATGGGCAAACTAAAGCAACCTGTCACCTATCTTGGGGCCTGAAGTGTGCCTGGCAGTGAGGCCAAGCTGGGAAAGGTAGTTGTTGGAAGAATAAGAGAACAGTGGAGAATCCCTGAAATAAAGTGCCAATAAACGTAACTTACAAGTAACTGGAGGCAAATTTATTAATGTCTTCAATATACTGTTTGTGGTATTAGCAACACAGTTTAAAGCTTTTAAAAAATGGTTATCATTACTTTTTTTTTTTTTTTTTTTGGTACCAGAGATTGAACTCAGGGACACTCAACCCCTAAGCCACACCCCTAGCCCTATTTTGTATTTCTTTAATAGACAGGGTCTCACTGAGTTGCTAAGCACCTCACTGTTGGCTTTGATCCTTCTGACTCAGCCTCCCCAGCCAGTGGGATTATAGGCGTGTGCCACTATGCCAGGCTGATCATTACTTTTTGTAGCGCTGGGGTTCTAACGTAGGACTTCACATGCAAGGCAGGAGCTTTACACTCAGCTGCGCCCTAACCCTGAAGCATTTTTTTTGTATACCTTTATTTTATTTATTTATTTTTATGTGGTGCTGAGGATCAAACCCAGGTCCTCGCACGTGCTAGGTGAGCGCTCTACTGATGAGCCACAACCCCAGCCACAGAAGCATTTTTTTAAAACCACATTATTTACCTGAATTAATGTCTCCACTGGCAATCAATCCTTGATTGCTTTCTATTCATTAGCTTTTGATTTAATTAATAAGACATGTTAAAGAGGAATCCTCAGTGTTTTCTTGTAAACAGCTTTAATTGATTGATTCACATGAATTTTGTGAATATTATAAGTTATTTAAATCAACATTTGAATTACATGTTTTGAATCTTCGTAAAATAAATTACAGTTACAAGATAATTAGGAGATACAATGTTTATTTTGTTATTCTTAATGTAATACATATCTTTTAATATTAAGAACTAACAGGACTTACTTAGGATTTCAAGTATTGAAAATGTYATACTGATATTTCCAATTCATATGTACAAAAAATAGAATGTTAGAAAGTTTCAGAAATGTTACTTTTTTTCCAAAGGAGGAGCCAGTAATTTGGGATTTTCAGTAGCCTATAAAGCTGAGGGGCTTAGCAGTAGGTGAGTGTGCAGACATATGGAGGGAAGCTAATTAAGAAAAGAGAAGGTTACAGTGACTGTGAGGTTAAAGAGTAATTTGATGATCAATATGATTCTTAATGGGAAACCAATGAAGCAACTGGAAAGAGGGGATGCTGCTGATTAGTGGTCTGTGCTCAGATTATTAAAGGATAATGAGTGTTTTGAAACATGTCTATTGGGTGTAAAAAGGTTAATTAACAAAGCATTCTATAAATTCTAAAACTTTGGAAGTGAAAATTTGTCTATATCTACATGTATCAAAAACAAAGAGGCTGCACCTTTAATCTGAGAGAAAAGAAAATGAAGAGAAACATGAAAGGAGATGTTGAAAGCTTTATAAAGTTTTGGTATTTCCGTAATTTTTGAAAATGATTTTTATACTTAATTCTAGATTTATTTTGCATGTTTGAGTAAAAAATATGAGTGTATGAACAGTGTCAACATTCATTCATTAAACATTTTTGTGTGCCAGGAAATAATAGGCAAATATCAGCTAATGAAACAGCCCCTCTATTTCTGGACCTATTATAGTATAATATAAATTTCAAGGAGATTTTAGTTTCACATGTGTGATAGATAAAGTCTCAATGTCACCAACTATTGTGATTATCATGACCTATTACAAAAACTAATACTTGTAGGTTTAGTCATGCAGATTTAGAATCTTTTTTATGAAYCTTTGTTTTATTCTTTTATACAGTTATAGGAAATAAGTTCAAAAATTTTTTTAACCATGAAAGTAATACAAATTATTCTATGAGAGTATTTACAAGGGTTCCTTCTTTGGTTTCATTTGAAGAGTGCTTACCCAATTAGAGGCTCTGCCATGCTCAGTGTGGTAAAGGCCAGTCATGGTTTCATGGCTGAGAGTGTGTTTTAAGTACATGATCTTCAGAAGTATCAGGTTCCTGTGTTGTGTTCCAGAATTCAGTTCACAGTACATTCAAGCTAACTCTTCTCAAGGGAAATGGGAAGCTTTGTGGGAGGAAGGTTGTGTGTTTTATGGGTGAGGGGAAAATATCTGTAAATGAGAGGAAAATTCCAAGCAGTTCCTGGAATCAGTTGCTGCCTCCTCAGGGAGCCAGGGATGAGCTCAGCTGGGCTGAGAAAAATCTGCACAGATGTCAGCACTTGCAGCCTCAAGCCTTGCCAAAGGCTCCGGAGTCCTAAGGACAAAGTAAAGAGCACAAGGTAGAGACTCCAGCTGAACCCCACGTGCCTAGCAAAGTTTTGCCTGCACCTGTGTACTTGAGACACACACAGGATGGGAGAAATCAAGGTAATGTACTCAAGACCAGAGGTGGCAGAGCAGCAAGGCAGTAGGCCTGTCCTCCCAGCTAGAATCAGGAGAAATCAGTACAACTTCTGAGCTTAAGGACATGGCTCTGTGGATCCTTGTACCAGATGTCCTCAGTCCTTTACTGTAACCAGTAAGAATGGATTTCACCATCAGTTCGAAGACAAATACCACTGGGATGGTTGGACTGTGACAAATTTCTTGGCCTTTTGGGTTTTATGTCTTTGGCAATTTTTAGAGGAAAATAAAGAGCAATTAGATGTAGTTTTTTAAAAAAGGCATCTGTGTTCTTTATGTTAGACTCAGGTGCTGCATTTTCTGGGTCACAGGAGATCTTTTTTGTGTTTTCTTTAACCTCTGAAGATCCTTGGTAGGAATGTAAATGGCAACAAGAGAGCTGAGGTTGTAGCTCTCTGGTAGAATGCTTGGTTAGTATATGCAAGGCCTTAGGTTCTATCCCCCCAAAGAAAGAAATAATAATAATTAAATTGCAACCAGAAACAATTTGTGATCTATGAGGCTGACAAAATCAAATATTGATAACACATAGCATAGGTGACAGAGAAAGAACAGGATCTCTCTTTGTTTGCTATGGGAAGGGTCAATTGATATCCTCTGTCTCGAGTACATTTCCAGTATTCATGAAAATTAGGAATTTATCATGCAGACATTTTTTCATGGATGGAATTTTGTATACCAGAATTTTCATTGCATCATTAGAGTAGCAAAAAATTGAGAACAAGCTAAATGCTTATCAATAGAGGACCAGAACTAAATTAAGTATGTTATGCTCATGCAAAGAAATACGCTCTGGCCTTCCAAAATCAAGAGATATTTTTCTATAAATGTATAAGGAAGAAACCTAAATAGTTATTAAGTCACAAAAGCAATACACAATATATTCTGAATTCTATACTATCATTTGTGTATGTGTACTTATATGTGTGTGTGCACACACAATTATTAATGTGATACATATGTCATGGAATCTGTGGACCTTAAAGTATAGATGAGTATTGGTAAATGATGACCAGAGAGTGAGAGCTAGGTGGCTGAAGCAGAGTATGGCAGGGAGATTTATTTTTCGCCAAATACCTTCTTGTACCCTTCACATTTTTAATGTGTGTTTAAAAAAAACTATTTTAATTAACAAACCAACCAAATTGAGTATGCTGGTAGGTCTTGTAATTGTGGAAAATAGAGCAATTAAGAAGACCAATAGGAATAATCATGTTTTCAATAGTTGACAGAATTTACTGGATAAAATGTTATCTCTATAGCATAATCATACTCTTAATTAGAGCCGACACACATTTAGGATGTGTATGGAAGAGCCATCTGCTTTGGATAGGTTTTGTGTAATCTTGTAATAGTATATTCATAACTTTTTTGATGATATACTGTAATATAAAACACAACCAGATCAAATATAATCATGGAAGGCTCTTAAAAAAATAGAAAAAAGTGGGCAAATGGGTGATGTTGAGAGAGGAGAGAAGGCTAAGTGTTAGATTTCTGTCCTGGGGGACTGAATGACCTCATCAAAGACTGAAAATAAGAYGTTTCAGCAAAAGAAACAAAGAAGGAAGCTATTGAGAAACAAAGTTATTTTGAGTGCATGGTTTTTCATTAATTTGAGAATAATTGTCAAGTGTGGTGATTTTGTTAAATACAAGTTTCATTCTGGAAGGAACAGAGTGAATCACAGAAAACTTCAATTAAATCTTGGCCTATGCAAGTGTGAATGTTTAAAATGTGAATATTTATGATGATGATATAGCATTCCCAGGCTTACAGAATTAATCTTGCTGTGGTGGTATAATTGAGTCACTGACATTTTCAAAGCAAAATTGCATAAAATAGAAATGGTAAGGAAGACAATTAGAGCCTTAATAGGCACATATTTTCACTTTTCATCTTTTCTTTTGTTTCTCTCAGGGTAAATGGGAAGTTGGTAGCCCTGAAGGTGATCAGGCTGCAAGAAGAAGAGGGTACCCCTTTCACAGCAATCAGGGAAGGTAGGCACTTCTACTTGTTGTCTGTGCTTTTGTGTTTGTATGATGTTTGTAACTGCATATGTATTTTACATCTTAGAATATGCTGAGTTTTTAAATTAAATTTTTATATTTTTCATTGGTGTGTGTATGCTGATATCAGTGCCTCTTAACAAATTATATCAAATTAATGTTAAGAAGACAAGACTATACTGTTGTATCTGTAGATATGTGTATGTTTTGTAACCATATATATGTTTAGAAAAATACTGCTATGCATTGATGGTAGTTGAGGACTTCTGTATATTTGATTTTGTTTGAGGAGCTCCTAAAATACATATTAGAGTGACATTGCTCTACATTCATGTTTTTATGGGAAATTCTTTAATAATGAGAAGCTCATGGTATGCTGTCGTATTAATCATTTGAATGTCTTCTTTCTTGATTTCTTTGTATATGTCATTTACTGTATCTTCTATTGACTTTCTTATTGATAAATTATACCCTTTATATATTAGGGAGACTTATATTGTAATATTTCCTCTACTTTGCCATTTTCCTAAAGATTCCTTTTATAATGTAGTTGCTATATAAGATTTTAATTTTTATGAAATTAGTTTCTGCCTAGAAAAGTTTCTGTGCTTGAAAAGAAATGAAATATCACCCCTTATTTGTGGGGAATTTTCAGTTCAGTGTCATAACTCAGGATTAGTAGCTTTATCTCTATATCTTTAAAAGTACAAATTATTTTGACCTGAGATATCAGTTTATTTTTGCATTGAAGAGATCACAACTACTTGTTCTGTGGAGCCAGATGAGGTAAATATCGGTGGTTTACCTGTATGAAGGTACTGGTGAACTACATGCGCTCTCTCACTAGCYTGGCTTGTTTCTCATAACTATCAATATAATTTACACTACTTATTTCTGAGAAGTCTGCTTTCTCTTTTCTCATTCCTCTTTTCATCTCATATTGGTTTGGCTTCCTTCATTCCTATTTAGCTGATACTGCTCTTATAAAGTTCACGAGTTACCTCCTTCTCACCAAACGGAATGTACAGCTCTCACTCAGTTTTATTTTACCCATCCTGTTAACAGATGCACATAGTTGAAATTTTCTTTTCTGTGATTCTTTCAAGTAGAAACAAAAAGTATGATCTGTATTAAGGTTTTCCTTTTCCTCTTGTACTGGCTTTTTCCTCTAAGTTTTGGAGAGTTTCAGGACGGGAGGGGGTGGATTTTCCCTCCTACTCTAATAAGTACTTTTTCCTAGGTGATTCCTTTCATGAATTTAAATAGCAGCCACAATGACCTAGACACATGCATCCCTTTAAGACCTTGTCTCCATCTCATTTCACATTCCTCTGCCTACTTGGCATCTCCTCTTGAATCCAATAATATATATTAAAAAAATATACCACTATCAAGCAAGGCTCATTGTGGGAATGCAAGTGTGGTTCCATCTTCAAGAATCAATCATTGCATAACAGTTACCTCAAACTTACATCCCAAAAGCTCTTTTGTCCTTCCACCATATCCCAAACCATATTATTCCTGCATTCCTAATAGCAACATCCAGTCTTCTCCTACCCAAATGTAGCCAATCAACAAGTCAAGTCCTATTGATTAGTTTTCTAAAAGATATCTCAAATCTGTTTATATATAGCACAAGTGTCTCTTTAGTGTCACCCCCTGTATTAGTAAGCTTTTCATTGTTGTGATGAAAATGTCCAACAAGATGAGAAAAGTTGATTTGGGCTCATAGTTTCAGAGATTCAGTCACAATCAACTGGCTCCATTATTCTGTACTTTAGGTGAAGCAGTATATCAGGATAGAGGGGATGGAAGAGGAAAGCTGCTCACCTCAAGGTGTCTGGAAAGCATAGAGAGAGGAGAAGAGGTCAAACCCTTTCGGGGTACGCCCTCAGTAACCTCCTCCTTCCAGCCATGCCCCACCTGCCTGTGGCTAGCACCCAGTTAATTCATTTACACCAGGATACACTGATCAGATCACAGCTCTTGTGATCTGATCATTCACCTCTTCATGTACTTCCATTAAATAGAAGCTTTTGGAGGGCAACTCATGACCAAACCATAATGGCCCCAGTCCAGGACATCATCAGTTCTTCCTTGCAATCACTTCTAAATTGAACTCCCTGCTTCTTCTCTGGAGTTATTATTGTCTGTCCCTTCTCTGAAACTAGTATAATCTTTTTAAAGAGCTAAATCATATTATATCACTCCCCTTATTTAAAACTCTGTGTCAAATACTGTATGACTGGTTTTTCTTCATTCATGCCACAGGGGTTTCTATTTCAGGGATTTTACACATGCTCTTCTCCTGGTTACAGTGCTCTTCCTTGGATCTTTTTAGATGCCAGGTATTAATTTAAATCTCTTTTCAGAGAAGTTTCCTATGGCTTTCTTATCTAAAATAGCAGCTAACCATTATCCAACCCATCTTTACTCACCAGGTCACCACCCTGTTTATTTTTGTTATGATTCTTATTGGAATCTGAAATGGGTCCTTCCCTCTCTATTCAATATGATTTTATAGAATTCATGGATCTTTATTGAACTTTCACAGGAATAGCCTCACCATCCAGCATGACGTTCACTCTATCATGGTTATTGCGTGACTTACAGAAAATCATTAAGCTAGAGTCTATAAATATGATGAAGTGTTAGATAGGGTCTTTGCTCTCAAGGAATCTGTCTTCCTGGTGGTAGGCAGAGCATATAGATAACAAGTTGAGGAATAATATATGGTGGCACATCAATGTCAAATCATTTTGAACATATTCTAATTACTAAGGAAGTCCCTTCATTAGAGAAAGGGAGCTAAGGTGCTGGCTGGGCCCTCAATTTGAATTAAGATAAATTGAACAGAAGTTGCATTACAGGCAGGCATAGAAAAGGACTGGTTGTCAAGCACATAGCAATGGTTTAGATCAGGATTCTCAGTGGTGAGATGAAGGTGGAGTGGTTCTTGTTCATAGGAGTTATCTTTGTGGTCACAATAATAGGACAGTGCAACTGACATTTAGTGGGTTGCAGCTGGACACCWTTCAGTATGTATGAGTCGCTCTAGAGAGGTCCTGCTGCACCTGTAGCCTGCTGCCTGATTTTGCAAATAAAGTTTTATTTAAACACAGTCCATCCCATTTATTTATGTGTTGTCTGTGGCTGTATTCTTATATTCTTGTGCCAGACTGTATGGTCCCCTTTATTTCTGTAAAGTCTGACTCTTTAGGGAAAAAAGTTTGTCATTCTCTGCTCTAATACAATGAACAATTATGTTCCAGAAGGCTTTTGACTGTACTATTCGGCATTCACAGAGTGAAAAACTTGTTTATATTTTCCTGAGGCTATAACCCTCAACTCTTTCAAATATAAACAAAAAGTATGATCTGTACAGATTTATTGCATACCAAATTTCCCAGGAACCTAACTGCAGTGTAAATTTAGAAGAAAAATGAATTTTGTTTTGTAGAATGTTCTTCTATAACTTTTACATATATAACTTGGAAAATATATAACTAATGGTAGTTCTGCTTGTTTTATTGAAGTCACTGATGTTGTACCTGTAGATCAGTCTGTATTTATAGTGGTTGCATTAATGCTGATTCTATATGTAGGTGTGACCCAATGCCTCAATGTTTTCCAACATAATTGTACCTATTTATGTATTTAAATATACTGTTTTATTATAAATAACTTTTTATTTCTTTTTACTATTCTGGTTATATATAGGTAAATATATTTGAAATTATTTACATAAATATTTTAAATTGTATGTATGTGTATGTCCTATTATCTATGAATTTCATTTCATAGTAGTAAAGACAAATTTCATATACATATCTGCATATATTCCACATATATCCACGTGTTTTAGTTCATGTAGATATAGATTAGTACATTTGAAATTATGAATATTTGAAATTATACATGTGCATACCTCTTATTCAGTATGAATTTCAGTTCATAGTAAAAGCAAAGTAGTAAAAATGTATAAAGAGGGTTCTATGCATGATGGGATTGGAAACCACCAGCTGAGATGCATCAGTTGGTTTTTGTTGAACTGTGGAGGAAGACAAGTTGGACAGTGCTATTGAATTTGATTCTGGTAGCCCCTGAATGTGAGGCATTAGGAGAGGGCCAGGAGACTGGCCAGCCGGCATGTTCCCCAGCTTGTGGGGTGTGTACTAGAATTAATCAACCTTTTCTCAATATGGGTGCTGATCTAGATTCAAGGTTTAGAGCAAGTTCATAATGATAATAGCATCATTATGACAGGTAGGTCCATTTGTAGGACATTTTAAGGGAAGAAGCAAGTAGAGTAAAATGAAAATTGTGGATGATCTACTTGTTAACACTGGCAGAGAATGACACTGGCAAGGCCTTAGGACACCTGAAAGGGCAACACCAGGGAGAAGAATATGGTGAACCTAGGCACACTGAGAGCTGGGTTTCCTGGCAAGATGACTTCATTCCGAGCAGGGAGATGAACAGGGGAACTAGCCTTGGGCTGCAGTCGTGTTGTAGAATGCAGGGCTGCATAAATGGGTCCTCACTGTGTGGGTCAGTGAGCCTCTGATGGCTCTCCAACAGACTGTATTCTTAAAGAGAAATCTGGTAGTATGATACAATATAGATTAAATACAGAGGAAATTAGAAGCTTATAAATCAGTCATTCAAAGTACTAGAGAGTGGAAATTATGGATCTGTTAGAAAGCAGCGACAAAAATGATATTTTGAAGAAAAAAATGCCAGAGACATATAGATTATGGGTTATAGATGATATGGGAGGAAAATATCAATAGTTCTAATTTTGAATGATTGAAAAAATGGTTTCAGAGATGGAAGTAGTTTGTGAGTACATTGACTTGTTTTTAACACTTTATAGCTTGAAAGTACTGTTACTCAATTTAATCTTCAAATAATCGCTTTGAAAGGGGGTTTATTTTTTATTTTGTAGAATTTTTTAATATAACTATGGAATCGAGGCCCAGTGTAGTTGT